GGAGGCAGGGTCCCTGGGGACGGCGGGGGCTGTGGGGGTGGGGGAGGCAGGGTCCCCGGGGACGGCGGGGGCCTGGGGGAGGCAGGGTCCCCGGGGACGGCGGGGGGGGGGGGGGGGGGGTGGGGGAGGCAGGGTCCCCGGGGACGGCGGGGGGGGGTGGGGGGGGTGGGGGAGGCAGGGTCCCCGGGGACGCGGGGGGGGGGGGGGGGAGGGCAGGGTCCCCGGGGACGGCGGGGGGGGGGGGGGGGGAGGCAGGGTCCCCGGGGACGGCGGGGGGGGGGGGGGGGGGGGGGGGAGGCAGGGTCTCCGGGGACGGCGGGGGGGGGGGGGGGGGGGGAGGCAGGGGGTCTCCGGGGACGGCGGGGGGGGGGGGGGCGGGGGGGGGAGGCAGGGTCCTCCGGGGACGGCGGGGGGTGGGGGGAGGCAGGGGTCCCCGGGGACGGCGGGGGGGGGGGGGGGGGGGGTGGGGGAGGCGAGGGTCCCCGGGGACGGCGGGGGGGGGGGGGGGCGGGGGGAGGCAGGGTCCCCGGGGACGGCGGGGGGGGGGGGGGGGCGGGGGAGGCAGGGTCTCCGGGGACGGCGGGGGGGGGGGTGGGGGAGGCAGGGTCCCCGGGGACGGCGGGGGGGGGGGGGGGAGGCAGGGTCCCCGGGACAGCGGGGGGGGGGGGGGGAGGCAGGGTCCCCCGGCGGGACGGCGGGGGGGGGGGGGGGGAGGCAGGGTCCCCGGGGACGGCGGGGGGGGGGGGGGGGGGAGGCAGGGTCCCCGGGGACGGCGGGGGGGGGGGGGGGGGGAGGCAGGGTCCCCGGGGACAGCGGGGGGGGGGGGGGGGAGGCAGGTCCCCGGGGACGGCGGGGGGGGGGGGGAGGCAGGGTCTCCGGGGACGGCGGGGGGGGGGGGGGGGGAGGCAGGGTCCCCGGGGACGGCGGGGGGGGGGGGGGGGAGGCAGGGTCCCCGGGGACAGCGGGGGGGGGGGGGGGAGGCAGGGTCCCCGGGGACGGCGGGGGGGGGGGGGGGGGGGGAGGCAGGGTCCCCGGGGACGGCGGGGGGGGGGGGGTGGGGGAGGCAGGGTCTCCGGGGACAGCGGGGGGGGGGGGGGGGAGGGCAGGGTCCCGGGGACAGCGGGGGGGGGGGGGGAGGCAGGGTCCCCGGGGACGGCAGGGGGGGGGAGGCAGGGTCTCCGGGGACAGCGGGGGGGGGGGGGGGGGGGGCAGGGTCCCTGGGGACGGCGGGGGGGGGGGGGGGAGGGCAGGGTCCCCGGGGGACGGCGGGGGGGGGGGGAGGCAGGGTCTCCGGGGACAGCGGGGGGTGGGGGAGGCAGGGTCCCCGGGGACGGCGGGGGGGGGGGGGGAGGCAGGGTCCCCCGGGGACAGCGGGGGGGGGGGGGGGGGAGGCAGGGTCCCCGGGGACGGCGGGGGGGGGGGGGGGGCGGGGGAGGCAGGGTCCCCAGGGACAGCAGGGCGGGGGGGTGGGGGAGGCAGGGTCCCCCGGGGACGGCGGGGGGGGGGGGGGGTGGGGGAGGCAGGGTCCCCGGGGACGGCGGGGCCTGGGGGGAGGCAGGGTCCCCGGGGACGGCAGGGGGGGGGAGGCAGGGTCTCCGGGGACAGCGGGGGGGGGGGGGGGGAGGCAGGGGTCCCTGGGGGACGGCGGGGGGGGGGGGGGGAGGCAGGGTCCCCGGGGACGGCGGGGGGGGCGGGGGGGAGGCAGGGTCCCCGGGGACGGCGGGGGGGGGGGGGGAGGCAGGTCCCCGGGGACGGCGGGGGGGGGGGGGGGGGGTGGGGGAGGCAGGGTCTCCGGGGACGGCGGGGGGGGCGGGGGGGGAGGCAGGGTCCCCGGGGACGGCGGGGGGGGGGGGGGGGAGGCAGGGTCCCCGGGGACGGCGGGGGGGGGGGGGGAGGCAGGGGTCCCCGGGGACAGCGGGGGGGGGGGAGGCAGGGTCTCCGGGGACAGCGGGGGGGTGGGGGAGGCAGGGTCCCCGGGGACGGCGGGGGGGGGGGGGGGGGGGGGAGGCAGGGTCCCCGGGGACAGCGGGGGGGGGGGGGAGGCAGGGTCCCCGGGGACGGCGGGGGGGGGGGGGGGGGAGGCAGGGTCCCCCGGGGACGGCGGGGGGGGGGGGAGGCAGGGTCCCCGGGGACGGCGGGGGGGGGGGGGGGGGGGAGGCAGGGTCCCGGGGACGGCGGGGGGGGGGGGGGGGGGAGGCAGGGTCCCCGGGGACGGCGGGGGGGGGGGGGGGAGGCAGGGTCCCCGGGGACAGCGGGGGGGGGGGGAGGCAGGGTCCCCGGGGACAGCGGGGGGGGGGGGAGGCAGGGTCCCCGGGGACAGCGGGGGGGGGGGGGAGGCAGGGTCCCCGGGGGACAGCAGGGTGGGGGGGCGGGCCAGGGGAGGCAGGGGTCCCTGGGGACGGCGGGGGGTGGGGGGGTGGGGGAGGCAGGGTCCCCGGGACGGCGGGGGGGGGGGGGGGGGGGGGGGGGGAGGCAGGGTCCCCGGGGACGGCGGGGGGGGGGGGGGAGGCAGGGTCCCCGGGGACAGCGGGGGGGGGGGGGGGAGGCAGGGTCCCCGGGGACGGCGGGGGGGGGGGTGGGGGGGGGGGGAGGCAGGGTCCCCGGGGACAGCGGGGGGGGGGGGGGGGGGGAGGCAGGGTCCCCGGGGACGGCGGGGGGGGGTGGGGGAGGCAGGGTCCCCGGGGGACGGCGGGGGGGGGGGGGGGGGGGGGGGGGAGGCAGGGTCCCCGGGGGACGGCGGGGGGGGGGGGGGGGGGGGGGGAGGCAGGGTCCCTGGGGACAGCAGGGCGGGGGGGCCAGGGGAGGCAGGGTCCCCGGGGGACCGGCGGGGGGTGGGGGGGGTGGGGGAGGCAGGGTCCCCGGGGACGGCGGGGGGGTGGGGGAGGCAGGGTCCCCGGGGACGGCGGGGGGGGGCGGGGGGGAGAGGCAGGGTCCCCGGGGACAGCGGGGGAGGTGGGGGAGGCAGGGTCCCCGGGGACAGCAGGGTGGGGGGGGGGGGCCAGGGGAGGGCAGGGTCCCCTGGGGACGGCGGGGGGTGGGGGGGTGGGGGAGGCAGGGTCCCCGGGGACGGGCGGGGCGGGGGGGGGGGGGGTGGGGGAGGCAGGGTCCCGGGGACGGCGGGGGGGGGGGGGGGGGGGGAGGGCGGGGGGGGAGGCAGGGCCGCAGGTTACTCTACCTCGAGCAGCTTGTGTACATTCTCCCTTTCTTTCATTCGCAGCTCGGCTTCCAGGGCACTAGTTTGACAGCTGGGGCTATAGGTTCAAATCCAAGTGCTTGCTGTGAGGTCACAGGGTCAGGGGGTGCTTCCTGTCCGCTGTGGGAGGTCACGGGGTCAGATGTGCTCCAGCCCACTTGGCCAAGGGCTCCTTTCTAGGGATTGTGAAGGTCTTGGGAAGCACCGAGGGCAGCCAGGGAACAGCACTCGCTGCAGTGCCCGCCGTTCTGGTCCTCAGCCCCGGCCCGGGGCTCCGGCCTGAGGCCTTGCTGTGGCTCCGTGCAGAGGGCAGCTCTGGGTCAGCCAGGAGCGTTGGCGGTTTGGGGCCCATGTTCTGTCTGTGTTCAGTCATGACTGCCGGAGTCACAGAAGCTCTGTTGATGACTGGTGGAATGACTCTCCTCTCCGGGGGGGGGGGGGGGGTGTGGCAGTGGGGCCAGGCTCGCTGCCAGTGCCAGGGGCTGCTGCTGTTTCTGACGCGGCACCTAGCTTGTATGAGACAGGATTTTAGAACAGCATGGTGCCGCACGCCTGCCCTCTCAGCCCTGGGAGGCGGGGCGTCAGGGCTGAGGCTGCACAGAGACCCTGTCTCAGAAAATACTTAATTATAAATACATGCTCACTTACAAAGTCAGAGATCAAAACTAACACAAAAAGTACCATAGCTCTACCTTCCAGAGACAACTAGCATTGTTTATTATTTTTCTCTAGTGTGTGTGCGTGTTTCCTTCTCTTCCTTGTTTTTATAAAACAGGGCATGAAGCTGGGCGCTGGTGGCTCACGCCTGTCATCCTAGCTACTCAGGAGGCTGAGATCTGAGGATCACAGTTCAAATCCAGCCTGGGCAGGAAAGTCCATGAGACTCTTATCTCCAATAAACCACCAGAAAACAGGAAGTGGCGCTGTGGCTCAAGTGGTAGAGCACTCGCCTTGAGCTGAAGAGCTCAGGGACAGCGCCCAGGCCCAGAGTTCAAGCCCCACAAACAACCAAAAACATAAAATAAAACAGGGCATCATAAATGTACTTGTGTTCATTTAATAACACCAAATCTCACATTATCAAAGAGCCTCTCAAATACAACTTTGAATAATTACTGTATCATATGGATGGTATCTACCATAATGTGCTTAGTCAAAGCTAAGCTATCTCATATATATATGTACATCTGTTATGTTAAAATTAACATTAGTATCTTTTCAAATGTTTGCTTACAGGAGATGGAGGCCTTAACACAGAACACTAATAGCACTCTTGTTTTATCTCTAAAGGCAAACAAAAAACTGGTCCTCTACCATCGCTATACGAATCGAGCGCTGGTGGCCCATCGGAACCTGTTCTTAAGGTACTGCAGGGCACAGCGAACATCACAAGAGATGTGGGTGTGAATGTGGGCGAGGTTCCATTAGAGACTGCATGTGCGCGTGTATGTACTCGTGTGCGCACACACATGCATGTGCATGCACACATATGCACACCTGCATGCACTCACGCACACACGCTCACGCACTCACACACACAGATCCTTGGAGGCTGAAGGTTCTGTGGAAGCCAGCCTCACGGGTGCTCTGAAGAGGGAACTAAAACTCAGTAAGGCCACTCAGTTCCTCTCCTTCTCTAGGACGTACTTTGGAAAAGAAGTTGAGGTTGCAGCTCACACATATCTGGATTCACAGAGAGTGGAAAAGCCAAAGAACGTATGGCTTTTAGTGACTGCGAGCCCCAGGGATGACGAGGCCACCATGCTGGACGTGGCCAAGCCCAGGGCCGAGGACACCCGTGCTGTGGAGCAGGCCATGGGCCTTGGCCCGCAGTGACACACGCCCCACGCAGTCCTGTTCTTTCTGACCTTGCTCTTGCCAAATACAGCTTCCAACCAGAGACCTGGGCATGCCTTGCCGTGTCTTTTTGCACAGAGGCACAGGATGTGCTGGTGGTGGGGTTGAGGGTGTGTTAGCAGTGCTGTTAGCAGTGAGCATGCACTGCTCACACCAGGCACCGCAGGCCCGGGGAACCCAGGAGGGAGCAGGCCTGTGCCGGGGGAAGGGGCGCAGGAGGCCACGGCACACTCCAGGCCGCCGCCACGGGGAGACGCAGGGCGCTCGGGTGAGAGAGAGGCCAGGGCCGGGCTGGAAAGTGCTGGTCCACATTTAGCCCAGCACAGAGCTGGAGCAGGGGGAGGAAGGCTGGCCTGGGGAGGAGTGGGGACGGGTGAGTGGAGGGTCCCAGCGGGGCGTGGGGACAGCGGGGCTGGACACACGTGTGCATGCGTGTGTGCATGTGTGTCAACAGAAGACCATGCGTATTCCACTGGCAAAGTCAGTCAGCGTTTCCTGATGCTAGCCGGAGCAGGCGCTTTCCTCTTTCCTCTCCATTTGTTCTTTCCTCCTCTTCTCCCCTCGCCTCTCTTCCTTTCCCTCTTTTCTTTCTGGAACAGGTCCTCATTGTGGAAAGAAGGCAGAAGACTGGAACCGGCAGTTAGGAAAGGAGTAACTCAGTCTCCAAGAAGCATTCCAAAACACATTCAAACAAAGACAGTGACTGACAGGGCCTCCCTGGCCCCTCCCCGCAGAGGACCCAGGCCCTGGTGGGAAAGGGCAGAGCTAAGCGTGGGGACAGAGCCCGCGGGGTGGGGCTGTGGGCCCTGCAGTCCACCAGGGCAGAGAGGAAGCCAGGACTTTCTCCCGTCCGTGTGGTTCCCCAAATGGCCACAAGAGGGCGGCGCCTGAGCCCAGCATGGAATGCTCAGCATGGAATGCTCAGCGGCTGCTTCACCTCAGTTCCCAAAAGGGACATTTGTGGAGGGAGGAGTCACCAGCACCTGGCTCTGAGGTTGGTTCAGTTTTTCTTCATGAAAGAAGCAGTGTGTGGCGTATGTAAGAGCCGCTTTGCCAGGGCCATGGCTCACGCCTGGCATCGCAGCTCCTCACTCAGGAGACTGAGTTCTGAGGGTGTCAGTCTGAAGGCAGCCTGGGCAGGAAAGCCCGTGAGACTCTCATCTCCAATTAACCATCCAAAAGCCAGAAGGGTGCTATGGCTCAACGGTAGAGCGCTAGCTTTGAGCATAAAAAGCTCAGGGTCAGGGACCAAAGCCCCAGGACCTATACAAAAGAAAAGAGAGGAAAGGAGAGGGGAGGGGGGGAAGGAGAGGGGAAGGAGGGGGGGAAGGGGCTGTTTTAACTGGCATTCGGAATATGGGTAGCCAGGGGGTTCAGGTTGGGGTTTTTACGGACATTTCTTCTGGCGTCTGGAAATAGTGCCCACAACCAGGAGCCGGAGAAGCGACACCAGAGTCCTGTGTGTGGACACGCTGTGGCCGAGGCCTTGGTCCTCACCAGCCCTGGGTCTCTGCCGGCCCCGCGTCCTCCCAGAGCGGCTAGAAGATGAAGTGAACTGAGCCGGGCGCAGCATGGACGGGAGGGGAGGTTGCAGGTCTGGGCTCTGGCGCAGCATCAGACAGCTCAGCACGGACGCCTGGCTTCCTGGACATGCCACCCGCCGATCCGTGGCACGAGGAATGCCCACGAGCCGCCTGCCTGCCTCCCAGCACTGGCCCCGGCGCTGGCCCCGGCGCTGGCCCCGGAGCTGGCCCGTCCTGTGGGCCTCCGCCCTGTATTGCCTCTGCACTGTGTTATGGTTGGCTGGTGGGGCCCGACGGAGCCTCTGCCAGACATCTGCTCCTGCTCCTGCATGAACTCCGGGCGGCAGGAAGCGCCCCGCCCTGTCCCACACCGCCAGGCCCCGAGGTGCCACACCAGGACGCTGCCTGGAGGCCGGGGAGGGGGCTCGGAGCTGCGCTCAGCCCCTTCCCTCCCTTTGTGGGTCGAAGTGACTCTCGCGAGACCTCTAGGGCCAGTGCTCTGGGCTAGCGACATGCGGAGAGCGCCAGAGGAAGGCAGGAAGTCAGAGGCCCCGCACACAAGCGGAGGAGAGCGCCAGAGGAAAGAAGGAAGTCAGAGGCCCCGCACACAAGCGGAGGAGAGCGCCAGAGGAAAGAAGGAAGTCAGAGGCCCGCACACAAGCGGAGGAGAGCGCCAGAGGAAGGCAGGAAGTCAGAGGCCCCGCACACAAGCGGAGGAGAGCGGCAGAGGAAGGCAGGAAGTCAGAGGCCCGCACACAAGCGGAGGAGAGCGGCAGAGGAAAGAAGGAAGTCAGAGGCCCCGCACACAAGCGGAGGAGAGCGCCAGAGGAAAGAAGGAAGTCAGAGGCCCGCACACAAGCGGAGGAGAGTGGCAGAGGAAGGGAGGAAGTCAGAGGCCCCGCACACAAGCGGAGGAGAGTGGCAGAGGAAGGGAGGAAGTCAGAGGCCCGCACACAAGCGGAGGAGAGCGCTAGAGGAAGGAGACAGGGCAAGAGCGGCAGCTTGAGAGGAGCCCACGTGACCCGGAGAGACTCCATGAACAGCGTGGTGACAAACATCCCTGTGACCCCTCAAAGAGCCGGGCCCACATCTCTGCTGCCCCCACAGGGACCCAGGGTCCCTGGGGAAGAGGCACACACTGGAGGGGACCCCCATCCCCCCTGGAGACCTCATTGGACAGAAAGACCAGGCCAAAGGGAGGAGACGCAAGTCCTCCGTCTTGCTGACAGAGAACCGAGGCTCAGGACACCATGAAGCTGTCTCCCCCTGTCCCCCAAGGCCTTGGCACTGCCCAGGAGCTGTGTGCTGCTGAAAACCCATCCTTGGGACATTGCAAGCAGAAGTTACCAGCAGAGATGTCTGTGTCCCCCCATTGACCTAAATGTCCAGCGGTGACGATTATTCAGATAAACAAGAGCGCATTTCCACCTGGGGCCTGGGTCCCTGGGTGCTGGCAGAGCCCTCCCCCGGCGGACCGCACAGCCCGCGGACGAGGCTGGGAAAGCGCTTCTTCTCTTGCTTTCCTTGGCAGCTCCTGACTTCTGGTGGCAGAGACTCTTCAGATGGTCTCCGGGACACCAAGCTGCCACAGCCAGGCACTCATGTACGTAACGTGCGAGTGAATCACCAACACGTGGGTCCTATTTCTGCCCAAATAGGCGGGGACTGCAGATGGCAGGAGGGGCGTGCCGTGCAGAGAGCCAGCCCCACCACCGAAGGCACCGAGCCCGTCTCGGCACCCTAGCAACCAGAGCCACTCAGTCTGACTCCAAGAGAGGTGGGCGGCCAGATGGGGTTGCCAGAGGTTCTCCAGGTTTATTTGTCTTGTCCCACAGCCAGCCAGGCCTACGCGGCCTGTAGAGCGACCTCACTTTCCCTGGGCTTCTGTACTGGAACCTTCTCCCACCTTTCTCGAGACTCTCCTCCGCTGGGTGGTGTGAATCTCTTCCCTGGCACTTCTGGCCACACCCTAGGTCTTCACCCGAGCCTCCGGGTCCTGTCCCAGGGCTTCGCCTCTTCTGTGTGTCCCACAGGGGCGTCAGCCGGGTGACCAAGCGACCTCGTCCTGCTCCCCATTGTCCAGCAGGCTGCATCCGGCGGTCCTCACCCCGTCCGCTCAGGCCACAGCAGCGGCCAGCATCAGTTTTCTGTTGCTGATTGCCAGACCCGGGGTCAGTGATGAACAAGACCCAGGGTTGGCCTTCAGTGTGCTCACAACCTGTGGAGAAGATGGACGCAAGAACAATAAGAAACACACCCGGGCAATCCACAGAGCACCCCCGGCAGTGGACAGGGCGGCCTCCCCTTGGTAGGGGTGGACGGCCTCCAGGGAGACTCCCTGTGTCCAGCACGTGTCCCGAGGTCGGCCCGGGCTCCTCTCGTGTTCCGGCATCCCCGCTCTGCCCTTCGGGTCCCAGGCTGCGGTCTGAGCTTTGGAACTGCCCTGGGCCTCTGTGAGCACAGCCGCGGCCCTCGGCGGCAGCCCCGCGGTCTGGCCGGCCTCCAAGGGGAGGCCTGACCCCGGCACCCCCTGGCCTCTCTGGCTGGCTTCCGTCCAGACACGAGCAGTGCCCTGGGGAGGCGGGAGGCGCGTGGCCAGCCTCTGTCCCCGGGCCTTGCATTCTGTGCAGCCTCCGTCTCCACATTCCGGCCCAGCTGCCGCCTCCCCAGCCACTCATGGCCAGCTCTCCACTGGGAAGACTCAGACGTGAACTGCCCAGCAGTGGGCGAAACCTTTCTACCCACACAAGGCAGGAGACGGGCGTTTTGCTCAGGGCCCATTCTGGCCTTTTGTGAGCATTCTGGGCCTCGTGGCCTTCTCTGGTCCCACTGGGAGCCTTTGGGGTCCCAGGGCCTCGTGGGCTTCACATCTTGTTTTTGGACCATGCAGAGGGTCTGACCAAACCTCCGAGGCCTTCAGTCAGTCCGAGGGCCACTGGTGTCAGTCCTGTCCCCAACCCCCACTGAGCCCAGGAGAAAAACCCACCTTCGTGACGCCCCATGACATGCCCGGGCTGCAGCCGGCCTTCGCAGGAGAGGTAGGGAGGGTGAAGCTCATCCCTGGGGAGACGGCGGGTATTGTCACTACCGCCACCACAGCACCCACACCACCAGCATCATCACCACCACCACCGTCAGCACCAGCATCACCACCACCACCCTCGGCACCGTGACAATGCCACTGTCCACACCTCCGCCATCCCTGCTCATGACCTCGACTCCCACCGCCAGTCCCAGTCCAGCGGGAGCCGCCAGGGCTGCCAGCAGCTGGGGCCATGTGGAAGGGGTCAGGGTCAGCACATTCTGTCCCTAGGGCAGGGCCAGGCCGTGGTATGGGGGGAAGGCCAGAGGCCCCGTGGTCTGGGAGTCACCGGGGATGGTCCTCTAGGGGCTGGCATTGAGCAGGGAAGAGGCTGGGAGACAGCCAGGCTGGGACCAGGGCAGTGGATGCCGGGGGAGAGCGGGCAGGAGCGGCCACTGTGTGGGGAGGCACCCCTTCCGGAATGCTGCGGAGGGCAGAGGGCGGCG